TTTGTTCCTGCAATCTCCTTCTGAAGCAATTATACTAAAATACTATAACCTTTAAGTCCTTTGGTTTCTGAGTGTTTTCTTTTTAATGTCAAATTTGTGTCTATTCTCTTGCATAGAGACTGTTGAATATGGCCAAGGGACTTTCCTGGCACATGGTATTGTATATGGGAAGATGCAGGTGAATGAGCCCCCAACACTAAGGCTTATTGGGTCCTATAAGCAGATAAGAGAATTGAGTTGGTACTAGGGTTTTATGCATGGGCTAGTCTTCAAATTTATCTCTGTTGGATGGTCCAATGTTTCTGGTCTGTACTTGTTTCAAATTTGCAAGGTCCTCAAGGTCTGTGAAAGGGAAGGATCATCTTCGAAAAGAGCTTATAGAAATTCCTAATAATACACTAGAGAGATTTCTGTTGTGAGTTGTAGGTGACAACTAGTGAAGTTCTCTTCTCTGCTGAATCTGTCCTGTCAAAAGTAACTTCTGGGTACTTGTCTAAGCAATGAATAAATGTGATGTACTTCGAAGTAATTTATGATGAGAAAAGTAAAGTGTTTGGGCAATTTGGTGAACAGAACAACTTGTTTATAGGTTTGCTCCATTTACTTCTGATAACTGTCCTTGGGTATAGCTGGGTTTGGCTTCTTTCTCCCTGCAGATCAGGTATATCCCTCAAATCACCAGCCTACTGGTTAGTGTCAGACTAGGATCTAGGAGATCCGAAATCCTTACCCGGCCATGGAAATTTGCTGGGTGACCAAGTCATACCTTCACAGGATAAAATGGAGGGGAAATGGTGTTGGTACGCCGTTGGATCCCCAATGAAGAGAGAAGCAGGGTATAAAAATACCCGCTTCGCTAATTAGACCTACCAGTTATCCTAGGTGCAGAAGTAAATGGGGCTTTGCTCATAAATGCATGTAGTCTTGCAGTCCAATGCCATACATATTTTATCAGAAGTCGGTCGTTCCACTTCCAGGTAAAAGTGCATAGGACTGCAGCCTTTACAAACTCAGACTTCCTGAGCAGTGTTCCCATAGAGACTGTGGAGATCTCCCAATCTCAACGTTTATTTCTACGGCTCCGAATTACTTTCTAGCTCAGGTATAAAGCTGGTCCTACAGTTGAGATGCTTTTGCTAGCCGAAAGAACGCCCTCGCCTGCCTGCCTGCCAGAGCTGAATGGGTGCAGATCTCCCAATCTCAACTCAAGTATAAGGCTGGTCCTACAGTTGAGGTGCTTTTGCTAGCCGAAAGAATGCCCTCGCCTGCCTGCCTGCCTGCCTGCCAGAGCTGAATGGGTCTCACGCCTCCAGCGAAGGCGACACGTTCTCCGGCACTGGACTGGAACCGCTGATGTTCGTCTACCAATCCTGTATAAAATTCAGCGGGTCCACAGCCAAGGCTCCGCCCAGCAGGGAAGGCCCGTGAGCGAAGCGCCCTCCTTTCTTTCTCTTTGCAGTGACGGTTCTTGAAGGCTTCCGGTTTGTCGCTGCTGAGAGCGGCTTCGTCACGTGCAGCGATTTATGTCGAGAACGCCCCCCCTCCCCGCCGTCCTGGCCATGTTAATCGGTCTGCAGCACGGCTCTGTTTTAACCAAGAGCTGGTTAAAAGTACGCAGTCACTTTCGCCATAAAAAGTCGTCACGAACAGGATTCGAACCTGTGCGGGGAAACCCCATTGGATTTCGAGTCCAACGCCTTAACCACTCGGCCACCGTGACTCCCAGGCCAGGCTTTCGCTAAGCTTCAGCTAGAGAGATCCGTGCAGCAACTAAATGTGCTGGGGGAGGGAAGGCGGCAGAGAAAAGAAAATCTTGGTAGGCTCAGGGTCCCCCCCTTCCCCAACACGAGCGGAGGAGAGACGAGGAAGCCTGTTAGGCCTTTTGCTCAACGTAGTCCTTCCTTTATGTTCATCTCTCTTGCGGATCCCCATCTGCCTCCAAATACTCTTTCCTCCAGGTTAGCAGACAGTACTGATTCCCAGTGGAATTTCCCACCCTTGTGCGGTTCCAGCTCCCCCTGCTCGCCCGGTTGTCTCCCCTTGTTCGCTATCCTCCTAGACGCCTATTGATCTCTCTCCCTATACAGGGCACGAATTTTTGCCCCTCCAGAACCTTAATCTGACATATTTTCAATGCTTGCTGGATTTTTGTACAATCTAAGTAAATGATAGGGCAAAGTTTGAGTTCAGTTGCACCTTTCAGACCAACAGAGTTTTATTCAAGGTATAAACTTTTGTGTGCAGGCACACTTCTTCACATACAATGAAATGGAAATTATCAGTCCATATAAACAGGTAGAGGGTGATCAGTAAATTAGCATACAGCATAATGAAGATGTTTAACAGATTCAAGGACCAAACAGGAATAACAAGCTTAGTTTATATGGTTACCGTTTGTTTGGGTTTAATTCCAGGCAGGGGAAACATAGTAAAGGAAATAAATATGTCAGTATTGGAGATTGATGGGCAGATGTATCCTTAATTGTGGAATGCTGAGAGTAATTAACTGAGACCCTGCCTATCTCCTCTCAAGCATGGAGGTGACCTTACAGCATCTTCTTGTTTGAAGTGGGATGATTGGCTGTGTAGAGTTAGCTCCCCTATTCCCACACCAGAGAAATACATTCCAATCTACCATTTCAAATTACATTCCATTCTACTATTCATTATGTTACATTACAATCTACTATTCTAATCTATTATTCCAAATAAGAAATAAAGCGGACATGTGGCCCTTCTGGGGGACTGGTGAGAATACAGATGTAAGAACTAAATGAGGTTAGCATATGTAGTGAGATTAAAAAATCAATATCCCTGTTAAATCCTGGGGATTCCATTGTTCTGAGTGTTGTAATAACTTGCAACTCAGCAACTTCCCTTTCTAGTCTGTTCCTAAAGTTCCTTTGCAATACAACAGCTAGTTTAAGGCCTCAGATTATGGCCTAAAATTATGAGGGCCTTCAAATACAAAGATTACGAAAATGGGTGTTGGGGGGGGGAGATAATGCTATGGGGCCTCGTTAGAGGGTTCCTGACAAGCTGCCACCCTTCTCTGGTGCCAGGGTTGCCAGCCTTCAGGTGGTCAGCAATAAATCTAAGGGACCACGGTGAACAAAGAAGTCCAACAGAACAAACACCGTGTAATAGTTCGATATAAATTCAAATGATTGAAACCCATACATAACAATTATAAAGACAACACACTGCAACAATAGAGTATAGTGCTATCTCAGTACAACTTGTTTCACAAGTGTGGTAAAGTCCCCAGTTGGTACAAAAAGGTCTGAAAATCCTTTGCCACCCTTCTTGCCAGGGTTGCCAGCCTCCAGGGGGTGGCTGGAGATCTCCTGGGATTACAACTGATCTCCAGGTGACAGAGATCAGTTCACCTGGAGAAAATGGCTGCTTTGGAAGGTGGACGGGGGCATTTTGCCCCACTGAAGTCCCTCCCCTCCCCAAACCCCACCCTCCTCAGGCTCCAAGCCCCCAAATCTCCAGGTACTTCCCAACCCTGTGTGGTGCCCAAAATGGTGTGAACACGTTACTTTGCATAACAGTAGGCCTGGCTCTTGACCCACCCCTTCCTGGTAACAGTTTCCTGGGGAGGCTGTGAGATGGGTGCCCAGTTAAGGCAGTGTCTTTCCCTCTGCCAGGATCATAAATCCAACCCATTTCTTTCCATGTTGACACCACTCTTAAGTAGACCCTGAATGATGTAACGTGGATAGATCACTTCTCAACATACTTGAACCACATAGAATTTAATATCTTTGGAACATTTCCTGCTGCCCTCAAGGGGCTCTTCAGTCTGACAGGCGCTTGCTGAAAAATAAGTGGGTAGAATCCAGAGGTGCTACTTCAGGCTGCAAGGAGCAGAATGTCATTTTTTAAATATCCCCCACATTTTAAAAGATAGCATATGAGGGAGAAGGATTCTATCCATGCCTGCTGTGCTGGTTTTCTGCATGCAGGGAGATTTCCCACAGGAAAGTAATTACTGGCCCCCAAAGGTGATGTCCCTACCAGTGATTTTAAGTTGTGCAGTCCATTCTGCTATTTCTCATATTCTACAGTGTGTATAGAACATGTCTTCCTTAATATGTAGAACATGGGTCTGGCTATGTAGAAATGACTTGAGGGAACTGTGCTCCACCGCCAAATCTCCAAGAGTTTCCCAACCTGGATCTGGCTACTCTACCCCTCATCCCCCGCTGGTGGCTAGGCAGGACCTGGCAGCCGTAACAGTCACCAGAACTGTACAGATGTGGTGGGGGTTATAATCTATTACAATGATGCTGTCCCACCTAGTAATAATAATACTTAGCATTTATATAGAACTTTCATTGTTCATAGGACGTCATAGACATTATCTACTAGTTGCAATCCCTACAACAGCCCTGCTTGGCAGGCCATGAAATCTGATCCCACCATGGTACAAAGAGTAAGGACATGCTTTGGCTGCACATCATAGACATTATCTATTAGTTGCAATCCCTACAACAGCCCTGCTCGGCAGGCCATGAAATCTGATCCCACAAAGAGTAAGGACATGCTTTGGCTGCAGGTACAAAGAGTAAGGACATGCTTTGGCTGCAGAGTACAGCTGCACTATAGAATTATTGCTGCTGCTGCTGCTGCTGCTGCTGCTAGGGTTACGAGCAATGGTACTATAGGTAGCTCTGAGGCCTGAGTCTGCGCGTTCCGGAGCTGGCCGCCTGAGCACCTTTCTTGCCGGCTTCCTTCTCCTCGAGCCAGGGGCCCTAGCCATCATGGTGCAGCTTTGACACTCAGGCAGGGCGCATGTTGCGTCCTGCTAGCTGAGGCGAGTTCTCCCCTGCAGGGGTCGCTGCGTGTCAGTACTGGCGAGAGCGAGCGGGCGTCTGCGGCCGGATGGCACACAGTAGTGTGGAACAGCAGCCGGTAGAGGGCGCTGCGGGGGCGCCACCAGGCGCGGCGCACGGAGAGCGAGCGGCAAGCAGGCAGGCAGGCAGGCAGGCGGGCGGGCCCTTAGAGCTGGCGGCGCGGCCCGGGCCGGCGGCGCTGGGAAAATGGCGGTGCGGAAGAAGGACGGCGGCCCCAACGTCAAATACTACGAGGCCTCAGACACCGTTAGCCAGTTCGACAGCGCGCGCGTCTGGCTGGGGAAGAACTACAAGAAGGTACTGGCCTGCCTCTGCTTCCCCTCCACCCTTTGCTCTCCACCCTGCCATTTAGGAAACACCTTCTCGAAGCTACCGGGGGAGGAGGGGAGGGAGAGAAAGGGCGCTTATTCTCTTCTGCTGCGTTTATCGGAAATGTCCCACGGACCCATTCCATCCCCAGCCCATTGTACATATCCCCCTTCCCATTTCTGTTTTTCTCCGCCCCCTCCCATGGGGCCTGGATGGGGAGCGAGGGCAGTGGGTGGGGGAGAATCAATGGCAGTACAAATTTGGAATAGAGGGGCACACACATACGGAAGGGATGCGGAATCTAGGATTCCCCTCTCCCCGTCAGGGATGGCGGGGTTCCACTGACCTCACCCCAGCACATCTGGAAGGGTCTTTAAGACTGGTTCCATCACCCTTTCACCTTGTTGACCCCCCCTCCCACACACACACCAACAGAATCCCTGTCCCCTTTTCTGTCTAGGAAACCATAAACCATTTGGAGTCTGTCTTCCTGCCTCTGCATACAGCTGTTGGATGCTTTCCAGAACAACAGTATCTCGTTTTGACAACTCATCATCTCCATTAGTCTTCTCCCAGATTCCTGGGGGTTGTAAATTCCTTTGCTGTCTCTTTGTTGTTTTCACCTACCTTTTGCTGTATTTCCATTTACCATTATTCTCAGATGTTGTATAGATTCCTTCTGATCCAGTTACTGGAACTTTCATTCATTGATTTCACAGATCTCACATTCTCCCACATGGCTTATCTTCCACAAGTGACCTGAATAATTCCTGCCTTCTGTAACGGTGTCATTCCTGCCTACTGTAACGGTGGCATTTGGTTTGTGGAAATCTACAGTCTATGAAGCATTTTCCTTTCAAAAATGGGTCTCCCCCCCTGCCCGCCGTAAATTCTTCCAGGAGAGATTCCCATGCATCCCCCTTTATCATCTTTGGGAGTCCCATTTTACCTGTGTTTATCTCTTCCAATGTAAATTCCTTGTCCACAGAAATAGGAAATGTTTGGCATGGTGCCATTTAATCTTTCTAAACCATTCTGATGAGACAGTATTTAAGAAGAGATCCCTCTCCTCAGATGACTGTTTACAATGTTTAATTTGCAGGACAGGTCCCTTACATTATCACTTTTTCTTACCACTTCTTTGATCAGCTAAGATGAGCCAGATGCTCAAAAACTGAAATGGATTTTTCTCACCTTGCTGAGATTTCTCCTTTCAATTTTTCCCTGAGTGGTAGGGACTCTGGGTTGCTAGAAGAGGTAATAAATATTTCTATTATGGGAGAGAGGACACATGCAAGCTCTTGGATAAAGGCATGTGGAGTAGGATTTCCTGTCAGAATCTCTGCTTTTTTATGGCTGCATCCTTTCTACAGGCAGCATGGATCTCGGTTCCCAAGCTCTTAACTTTGACCTTCCAAGTGAGAGTGAGTGGTCAAGTCCCTAGACTCTTCTCTGTGTTTGGAGTGACAGCTTGTGACCTGATGCTTACCATTTCCCTGCTTATTCAAACCTCCCTCCAAGCCCCCAAGCCCATTTTTGTTTTGACTATTTGCAACCATAACTCAAGAATGATAGCATTGACTGGCTGTTCATTTTAGAATAGCTCCAACTGATTGTTTGTGTGTTTGCATTAAAAAAAAAAACCACAAGACATGACTGGAATGTCCCAACCATAGAAGAAATACACATTTAATTGGAGTTTTTGCACACTGAGCAAATTGAGGAGGAGGAGGTCTTTACCACCGTTTGGTGAGGGTGTCACTGAAAGAAGGTCAGATAGGGAACATTTCTTCCATTCCCTGATCATATAAGTATTGGGCTTCTTTATTTCAGATTAACTCACTGCTTTGGCACACAGGCCCATTTCATTATGTACAACGTTAGCCAATCTGAGTGCTAGATATCCATGCCAAAAGCACAAATCCCTTTGCTTAAAGAAGGCAATTAACCTGTGTTTCAGCAGCTGTAATTGTTATGAAGTATAACAATGAATATATCCAGGAGCCAGATTTTACTGACAGTTGGTCTCCCTTCCCCAAAATCTGACACGATGTCGCTGACATTTTCCTAGGGGAGAGTCAGAAATATTCAGCTATCTCCCCCCGCCCCATCATGTGCTAACCAGCATGTCGGGGGTATTACCTAGGTATTGGGCAGGAGATGGACTAGTTCAGCTGGAGCAGCACAAATATTGTATCACTCCTTGGCTTGTATCCTGCATTCACTTTCTACTAATAGAAGGCTCTGTCAGTGGAAGGAACTTCCTTGCCTCCACCCTCCTGCAAATGCTCCCCTAAAAACTACATCAGGGGACAGAACCCGCAGAAACAGTGTGAGGGGGTAACTTAGGAGTCTACAGTAGGAAGGGGGAAATTGATGAACTACCCCCCCTTCTGTTAGCAGGAATTCACAGTGAGAGCCAAGCCCTTGTTGGTTACTGCAGCCTTCCCCAATCATCCAGTTCCTGAGCAGTTTCTTAGTCATTTATAATTGTGTAATGATGTCCTAGAGGAATTCTGAGCATTAAGATTTCAAATAACCTCTTCTCTTGGGAATTCAACTTTTGATATTCTAAATGTTCAGCAAGTAACACTGCAAATTGGGCCAGAGAAGGTGCAGTTACGTCATATGTGACCTGGGACAGCAATGTAAAGCTTTTTTTTTTAGCACAGCAGTGCTGTAGAATGTTTTAAGGAGAGATTTGACAACATTGTTGACATTCTTGTCTGATCAAAGCATCCACCTGCCACTTGATACAAAGTTGATACAAAGCTAGATTCCAAGTAAGCTATCCTGCTCTGTGGACTAGAGTATCATTGCCTGAATTTTAACAGCTATTGCCTCACACTAATCATGGAAAATGTAGGAGGTATATTGTCCCTAAGTATGAACAGAATGAACAGGAAATAAGAGAGCTGCAGTTCAGCCTCCTGCTGCAGTATCGCCACTTGTTCCTGGTATTCTGAAATTTTGATTTACAAACTTTCAGAAGCTGGAACTGGCTTTGTGTAGTGTCCACAGATCTTTGCATATTCCAAGTATTGCCACAATGTGTGTGTGTGTTTGTTTTGTATGTATGTATGTTTTATTGTATTATTAAATATTTATACATTTTATATGCTATTTTAATATTTAAATTTTTAATGCCTGATGTTCGCCAACTTGGAGACCCTATTTGGGTTCAAAACTGCCACATAATCTTTTAAATAAAATAATAATGTACCTAAGAAATGGAAATGCTAAAAAGCAAAGTCTCTTCTTTATGTGGGGAATGGTTCTCTCTGGGGTGCTGTTTCTTCCTTCTGAGGAAGCAGCTATAATTAGTAGTCTTCAACCAGACCCAAAATCTACTTTTAATCATAATCTGCAACATGGGATGTTTTAAAATATCTTATTGCATATATCATTCTTTCTCCTGCTGCTTTTTTCTACCCTTTTCCTTTAAAATTTTAAAAAAATATGGAGGTGCCACTGGTGTAATGTATTTTAGGTCAGGGTGTGACCATGTTTTGGCTGCTAACCCACTAGTTGATGCATAATCTGTGTGTTGCATGTCTAAGGTTAAACATGGGCTTGGTTTGGTTTTAACAGAGCCTGAGGGTAGGATTTGTAAAGCTTTGATCCTTATTCCCACAGTATATCCAAGCAGAACCACCCACCAATAAGTCATTGTCCAGCCTAGTGGTGCAGCTGTTGCAGTTCCAAGAGGAAGTGTTTGGAAAACATGTCAGCAATGCACCTCTCACAAAGTTACCGGTGAGTGCCACAACCTTCCTGATTTCAGTGTGGCAGAAGCTAAAAACTGTTTTCAATAGAGCAGACCCTTTCAGGAGCTGTTTTAGGCAATTAGAGAAAACAGTGGTCCCCATAGGTTAGTACTGACAATCCAGGGAGGCAGAGGTCTTTCCCTCTAATTCTATAGTTTGTGTTGCTTTAGGGGTTTGAAGACTGTGAATGTGCCACTTCCTACTGTGGGTAAAATCTTTCCCTGTATAAGAAATTCGTGGCCTGTTGTAAACTAGTGCATCAAGGAGAGGATGGTATCTTTCTCTTCTTGAATGTGCTGATTTACTCCATGAAGATAAGTGTGTGTGTGTCTTGGGAGGGTGAATTAGAAATGATATAGTCTGCCACTTCATTTTATGAATTGTGTAGAACAGCTTCCGAGATTATGTAACTGGAAGTGCTGGAGACTGCATATATGGATCATATGTACAAAGCTTTATTGGGACTAGTTCCTTCTGGGACTGCTGGGTGCCCACTTGCAAAAAGGATTGTTTAATGCATCACACCTTGAGGGGAAAACCACAGCCACTGTTCCAAATTGCATTCATGTATTCCCAATAGTGCCAGTTCATAATCCAGGTTAATACTTACAGAAATTGCTCACCTGTGCACCTGGCCCTTTAAGACTGGTATTAGCAGTCAGTTAATAAATTATTTTTATTACAAAACCAGAAAATTACAACACAATGTTTAGGGGCTAACATACCCATCATACATTGCGAGTAAATCAAGCAGAAAACCAAATTATATTCAGTTAAAATGTCAACATCTCTGTGCAAAATTCAGAGCTACTGTAACACAAAGCTTGTTAAACTGTGGTGGTTAATCTAGTATCAGGTTGCAAATTGCTTGCAACAGAGGACTAATCATTTTGTTTTACTTGGTTCTTTAGGGTGGATTCAATTGCTGAATGTCCACATTAAACAATCTTTGGGTTTCCGAAGTTTGTTATTCAGCCCCAAAAGTGCACCTATATCCAAGTGTTTCTGCTGTGCTTCAATTCATCCTGTAAATCAGTATTAAACCTTCTGGCCAGATTTTGATCCTTCACTATAAGCTGTAGGCCTTTTCTCAGTATTACACATGAAACCGCCTTATACTAAATTAGACCACCAGTCTGTCCAGGTCAGTATTGTCTACTCAGAGTGGAAGCGGCTCTCCAGGGTCTCAGGCAGAGATCTTTCACATCACCTATTGCCTGGTCCCTTTTACTTGAGGATCTGAGGATTGAACCTGGGACCTTCTACACGCAAAGCAAAAGCTCTTCCATTGTCCCAGCTCCTCCCATAAACCATAATCCCTTTCTCTAGCTGTGTGAAGTGATCTGAATTATATGGTTTTCCAGCCTAATTCTTGGGTAGCTGATGATTTTTTCCAGTGGGAAGGCACAAGCAGCTGAAGTATAGGTAACTGATCCTATTCTAACAGGGTCTTTGTACCTGGCTATCCTTGACTCTCTGTTCTTGTCCCCTAGATCAAATGCTTCTTAGATTTCAAAGCTGGTGGTGCTCTTTGTCACATCCTCGCAGCAGCCTATAAATTCAAGAGTGACCAAGGATGGTAAGCCTTCTCCTTTACTTTTTCACACATTCCATGAAAAAAGATGAAGTACTGTCCATAGGTTTCATATGGGAGTCTATAATCAGAAAAGATTTAGCGCTTGTCATGTAGAAGTCATTAGAATCTTGGGATCCCAATAGGTGTATAATGGTTGCTAACACCAGCTTCTCCACCCTCATGTTTTCATTTTCTCTGAGAATGAGGTTATAGAACAATGGCATGTTACATTGGCCAGATTTATGTGAATTCTTCTTTTGTGATTTTTGTTCATCACACTTATGGGCTTTACACTTGTACAGTTTCAGTTGAGAAACTTTTAGAGCTGCTTTTAGATTTGATATTTTTTCCTTCAGATGGTCAGCATGGTTGAGGGGAAGGAGTAGTGTCTTCCTTCTCTATTCTCTCTTGTTCACTGCAGCAGTGTTTGGGAATGTTCAGAGACTCCTTCTCTGTGAAACTAAGTTTGAGTCCAATGGCACCTTTAAGACCAACAAAGCTTTATTCAAGTTTTAAGCTTTCATGTGCATGCACACTTCTTCAGATACAGTGAAATGGAAATTACCAGTCCATACATATAGATAGAGGGTGAGCAGTAAATTAGCATGCAGCATAATGAAGCTGTGTAACAGATTCAAAGACCAAACAGGAATAACAAGCTTAGTTTATATGGTTACTATTTGTTTGGGTTTAATTCTCAGGGGGGCATAGTGAAGGAAATAAATATGTCAAAACTGGAGGTTGATGGGCAGATGTATCTTTCATTGTGGAATGCTGAGAGTAATTAACTGAGACCCTGCCATTACGCTCATCCAGGGGAGTTAACTCTACACAGCCAATTGCCCCACTTCAAAGAAGATGCTCTCACCCAGCTTGCCCCACCTGTTTTCTCGGTCCTTCACCAATCTCGAACTAGGGGGCGGGGGAGAGGAGTGGCTATTTTCATTCGGGAGGTTTAGTCCTTCAGGGCGCTCCCGGCTGTGGAGATCGCGGGCGTTGAGTGTGGCGGCGTGATGCTGGAGGCTGAGGAGTGTTTGGCAATTTGGTTGGTGTACCGACCGCCCAACGCACCGGCCAATAGCCTGCCATCCCTGCTGGAGGCCGTATCAGGCTGGGCGCTGGAGCACCCTTGGCTGATTGTCTTGGGTGATTTCAACGTCCATGCCGAGGACGCGGCCTCCAGCCGGGCTATGGACCTAGTGTCATCCATGGCGGCACTGGGACTCTCTCAGCTTGTTACAGCCCCCACGCATCGGGCCAGTCACACGCTCGATTTGATCTTCGCGGCTGGGGTGATGGTGGACCGGATCACTGTGGAAGCAGTGCCATGGTCGGATCACCAGGCTCTGAAGGCCCGTCTGAATGTTCCACCCCGACCCTATTTGAGCGGCGAGCGGATTTTTGCTCTCCTGCGCTGCCAGATGGGACCCTATGTGGCTTCAGACGGCTGTGCGGGATCCAAGGCCCCTGGTGGTTCATTGGATGACCTGGTGGAGGACTGGCATCGTTGGATGAGCTGGTGGACTTCCTCAGCCATCGACAAGATTGCTCCCAGGCGTCCTCTCCGCACTCGTTCTAGGCGGGCGCCCTGGTACACTCAGGAGTTGCGACACTGGTGTTGTAAGATCTGTCGGCCGCGTTTGACACGGTCGACCACCAGCTGCTAGCCCACCACCTCGCTGACGTGGGGATTCAGGGGCTCGCCCTTCAATGGTTTGCCTCTTTTCTCCAAGGTCGAGGACAAAGGGTGGCGATAGGGGATCAGCTGTCCCAGAGGTGGCCTCTTGAATGTGGGGTGCCTCAGGGGGCGGTGCTGTCCCCGATGTTGTTTAATATCTATATGCGCCCCCTTGCCCAGATTGCCCGGAGTTGTGGGCTTGGGTGTCATCAATACCCAGCTCTATCTGATTTTGGGCGGCCACCCCAGATGACCTTTGTCAGGTGTTACAGGCCGTGGCTGGTTGGCTCAGACTGGGTCAGCTGAAACTAAACCCGGCAAAGACGGAGGTCCTGGGCCTGAGTCGGATCGGTTCGGGGTTGGGGCTCCCTCTCCCGACCTTCGACGGGGTGCCTTTGGTGCCAGCGTCGGAGGTTAGGAGTTTGGGTGTGCTCCTGGACTCCTCCTTAACAATAGAGGCCCGGGTGGCAGCCACTGCCAAGTCGGCCTTTTATCATCTTTGGCTGGTGCGGCAGTTGGTTCTTTTCCTCGACCGAGGTGACCTGGCTACAGTGATCCATGTGACGGTCACCTCGAGGCTAGACTACTGTAACGCTCTCTACATGGGGCTGCCTTTGTCGCAAATTCAGAAGCTGCAGCTAGTGCAGAATGCTGCAGCCAGGCTATTGATGGGTCTCACTACACGAGATCACATCTGGCCTGTGCTGAAAGCGCTACACTGGCTGCCAATGGCATACCGGATTTGCTTCAAAGTGCTGGTTTTAACCTTTAAAGTCCTATATGGTCAGGGTCTGGCTTACCTTAGGGACCGCCTCTCCCCGCATGTTCCTCCAAGGGCACCACGGTCGGGGAACCAAAATCTCCTGGATATTCTAGGCCCCAGAAACATCAAACCTGCGGTTACCAGGGCCAGGGCATTTTTGGTAGCGGCTCCTACCTGGTGGAATGAGCTCCCAGAAGAGATCCGGGCCCTGTGGGACTTAGTTCAGTCCCGCAGGGCCTGTAAAACGGAGCTCTTCCGCCAGGCTTTCGAGTAGGGGCCGCCACCGCCATCATTACGCCATCATCATTACGTCACCATCGTTACCATCATTCCATCTGCGTCCCCCTCTTTATTACCGATAATTGCCCATCTTCAGAGCGGGTACTATTGGGGACGCGAGACATTCCTGGCAGAGGACAACGCTATAGGGACGTATATTGTTGCTGCTATATATTGTTATTACTGTTGTTTGTTGTTCTAGTAGAAATAATTTTAGAACCCCATCTTGAATTTCATAGTTAAATATTTTTGGAGCACCGTAAAGTAATTTTTAGCGAACTGTATTTATTGTATTTTATATTATTCTGTATTGTTTTAGTGTCCTAACCTGGGCATCCGTGCCCCTTGTGAGCCACCCTGAGCCTTCGGGGAGGGCGAGATATAAATGTAAGGATGGATAAATAAATAAATAAATAAATATGCTGTACGGTTGCCTCCATGCTTGAGAGGAGACAGAGCGTTTTTTTTCTTCGCATATCTTAAAACATCTTCATCATGTTACATGTTAGTTTGCTGTTCAGCCCGTCTAGAAGTTTGAACCTTACCTTCCATTCCAATGTATTTGAAAAAATGTGCATGTATACAAAAGCTCATGCCTTGAAGAAACCTTTGTTGGTTTTAAAGGTGCTGCTGGATTCTAAATTTGTTCTACTGCTTCAGACTAGCATGGCTGACTACCTGGACTAAACTGCATTATTGACTGCCTCAGTGCCACATGATCTGGATCCTTGGGATTAGTTTTGACCAATCTCCTTGCTACCCTCCTTACGTCTAGCAGCACACAGATTGTTACTGGGGCAACTAGGATCAGTATACAGCAACCTCCTACTCATTTTTTCCATCCCACACTTCTACAGCTTTTAACACCAGCATTCTCTGTGGACCTTGCCACATGTCCATTAACACCACCGCTTGATTCCATTGACTATGATCTCTTTTCCACCACCCATAGCAGTTGCTCTTTGGGACCAACAGAAGAACCTTTGCCCACAATGTGTTGTACACTGTTCCACCTGCCCCCATATCAGTAACTCACAAAACCAAAATAGGATCCACGGTAAGTAGGAAATACCAAATATCAGCAAATACCGTTCTACAGATGATTATAAAATATCTCAAATAATTTTAATATATTTTTTGTTTTATATTTTTACAATTTATTCACCATGCTTTTCATGTTGGAGGAAGCTTTGAGCTCGCTAAGAGAGAATTTTTGCAGTGTTCATTGAAAAATTTGGATAAATATTTTGGCATTTGGCAACCTTGTGCTTGGAAATATCTCTTGAACTCCCTGAGGAAGACACTGAAACAGGAGGATATCTGGACCTCTGTTGGAGGAAGACTGAGCACTTATTCAAAATAGGCTTAAAGGAGTCCTCCCTCTTAAGACTTTTGTATAATTAAGGAGGACTGATATTAATAAAGGGGTTGTGCAATATCTTTTGTGATAAGAGACAATACTTAGATGTTTTGAAATATGATTCTTTCTATGTATTAAGGCTTATATGATAAATAATATATGGTGAATAAATTGTAAAAATATAAAACAAAAATATATATAAAAATTATTTGAGATATTTTATAATTGCCCATATCAGTAACAGCAGCATGAGTACCAGGTGCTTGGTGACCCTATTTGTGTGGAAAGGCAGCATAGAAATGTTTAAAATAAATGTGTCCAGAGACCTCAGATTTCCAAGAAGCCACCACTGTGTCAGCTGCCTATTTTGAATTCGACACCTCTTAGGTGTTAATGAGGCACCTTCGCTTCTTCATTTTCTTCCGAAGGAGGAAGACAATGCCTCAAACTCTGATGTTTTAGACAAGGCTTTGGACTCTTCTCCTGCCCTATCAGTGAGTGATGCCATCTCCAGCTCCTCACAGTCTCTCCTCCACTCCATGTGTACATGTCTGTGTCTCTTGGGCAATGCTCCCTCTAAGCTGTGGAGTCTTGCGAGCAAAAATTCTACTTTGTGAGCTACTGGCATTAAAATTGTGAGCGAGCAATTTGGCCACTGCATAAATTAGTTTGCTCTGGAGCCATCTTTCCTGAGCTAGGACAAAAATGTGTGAGCGGGAGGCTGAAAAACTGTGAGCTGGCTCACACTAACTCAGCTTAGAGGGAACACTGCTCTTGGGCACCCTGGGCCTACATGAAGTCCCATCAGTATCCCATATGGACTTTGCAGTTCATAAGGGTAACTATTGGATCCATTTTGGCAAGAATTTTTCTGCCTTTGTAGAGGACCAAGCCTTAATCAGTCAGATATTCAGCTTTCACTGTCACTTTCCTAGCAGATTCAGAGATTGCTCAACCTCATGGCAACTTCCATTATAGTAGCTCAATTTGTCAGACTGACCATGAGGCCTCTCCAGTGCTGGTTGAACTGCAACCTCCAACTAATGTGGGACTCACAGGAAAAACCTCTAGATGCTTCATCAGTGAATTCAGGAGCCACAACTGGTGGACTTACCCTTGTCACTTACGTCATAAGATCCCATTTGCGACACCAGCTTGTCAAGGAACCCTCATAACAAATGCCCCTCAGTTGTGATGAAGCACACACTCTGGCATATACTGGCAGCAGCCATTTCAAGTGAGACAGCTGCATATTGGCCATTTGGAACTCCTTGTTCTCCGCAAGTCACTTTATGCATTTCTTCCCAGAGTGTGGGGGAAAGTAAGGCAGGTGGCCAAAGATAACATGGCCACAAGTACATCCTTTTCTTGCCTAGTCTGCAGTCTGTGGGAGAGATGCATCAAATAGAACATGAGATTGTGTCTTCCATCCTTGAGTATCTACTCCTTAGACCTATAGCATTTCACGTATTCGGTAATGACAACCTGATCTACCTGTGTCTTCCATCCTTGAGTATCTACTCCATCTCATTTCTCTAGGACTGGCATACTTGTCTAGCAGCCATCTCAGCATCACAGCCGTTAGTACAGAGCCACTTCCTATTCTTCCAACCCCTGACAAAGCAAGTGTTCAGAGGCTTCCACAGGTTTTGCCCACCAATCACACCACTTATACCGTAGTGGGACTTGCAGCTGGTCCTCACCCAGCTAGTGGGGGAAACCCTTCAGGCCTTTAAGTACTGTAACCTGAGGGGGGAACCCCCCCCCCCCATTCACCTTTCTGGTTGTAATCTGTTCAGCAACAAGTAAACTGGATGCTCTGGTCATCTTTATTTGCAACTGTATAGAGACAAGGTAGTCTTGTGCCCAGACAAAATTTGTCTCTGGGTTCCAACTGAATCAGGATCTGGTCCCTCTGATATACTTTCTTAATCCACATCTGATGCTGCATATTCTCTATATGTCCATTCTATCTGGACAGAGCTACCCATTTCAGGAAACACCTGAACGCTACTTGGGCCCAAAGAAATGACCAGGGGATGTGCTGTTGAGACTGTGGGAATGTGCTGTTAAGATTGTTTCTCTGAGAGAGGAAAGGATTTTTGCGCCTAAAATCTGGCTTTAGACGTTTTGAATTGGGTCTGTGTGCAGGTGCAGTGCCTGCCACTGTATAGGCACAAATGACTTCTAGAAAAGCACCACTTGCATATAAGCAATCTGATTTATTGCTGTTAAAACCTAGCTTGTACTTGAGATTTTCCTCTAGTGGCTAACAAAATATGAACTTCCTCATAATTGTCAAATTATTGTAACTGATAATGTTAAGTGGGAGGGAACTGGTCATCATTGTTGTATGTAGTAGCCAAAAAAATCATCCAGAGCCAAGGAGGTGACTAGGGGAGGGTAGTCTTTAATAAACCATCCAGAGACAAGGACTTGAATAGGGGAGGATAGTCTTCATGTTACCTGTCTCCCAAGATGCATCTGGATCCAGGGTGCTAGGTACCAGTCTCCATCCTTACCCAGGCTCAGACATTAGGCTTTGTGTAATGCCTTCTCTTGAAGTAAACTTCTGTAGAACAGCTAATCCAGAAGATATGAACTGTGACTTTCATGAAGGTCACTCTTTTCTTCCAATAAGGCGGCGTTTCGATTTCCAGAATCCATCACGGATGGATCGCAATGTGGAGATGTTCATGACCATTGAAAAATCATTAGTGCAGGTACTGTGACTTCCATTCTTATACAGAAATTGTTCCTTCTGGCCACCAGGTGTTCATTTGTCCTGTTTGTTCGTCTTCCAGAACAATTGCCTCTCCCGGCCTAACATCTATTTACATCCAGACACCGACCCTAAATTGCAGGCCAAACTAAAAGACATCATCAAACGGCACCAGGTGAGTGAGACCGCAAAACAGTCTAAAGTCTGTATAAATGAAACTGATGCTTGTGTATTGCATATCTGTTTGCTATTCAAGATGAACTGTCTTTCTTTGAAACGTCTCTTCCTAAGACACCTGAGGGTATCCTAAGCTCTTCCTATTTGTTCTTGTTTAACTTGTTCACTGGTGTGAGGTTGCACGGTGTTTTCCAGTTGCTTTTTAAAATACCATTAAAATGTTGCAAAGCATAAGCCTGGTTCGTAGACCAGAACATGATTACACTGTCTTTAGCTGTTGAGTTTGTGTAAGGAACTGATACATTTACACATGAATATGCTTTGGCTTGATTGGGGAGAATGGCTATGGGGTTAAGCTAAAGCTTTCATGGAGAAGTGTGTTTTGAATGGTGTGAGAAAAGTGGACTTCCAAGAGGAATAAGGCCAAGGGACAACAAAGGAGACTGGGATGTTCAAATCCACCACAGAGCAGGAATTCCTAGACCTACACAAAGAGGTGCTGTAGTCAAATACAAGTTGGTTTGGTCCAGTAGTGAGCACTGGACTTCTTGATGACTGGGGAAGTAGCTTTTGAACTGGATAAATGGACTTTTCTGCATAGCTGTTATCCTGTACCCTGCCTCATCATCAGGCATCCCCTTCCTGGAAACCAGATCTGGTCTTTATGTGCTCTTATGTTCTCTTTCCAGGGAACAGTAACAGAAGATAAGAATAATGCTTCCCATATTGTCTTTCCTGTTCCTGGTAGCCTGGAGGAAGGTGAGATTTCAGTCCATGTTTGGGTGAAGCAGTTGTGGAATTATGGCTTTATTCTAAATCTTGGTCTGAAAGGTCACTGGATAGTGGCATGTGAGATAATGGCTAGAATGCAGTGCTGTTCATTGTTTGATCTTGCAGACATTTGTTCCATTAACTTTATAGGGGTGATGATCCAGGCATAAGAGATTGCATTTAAAACAGTGACATGGAGAAACTCTCTTTATAAGCCATCTAAAGATACAGTGCAAAGTATTATTCATAACATGGAAAGTATAAAAAAACATCTATAGCCCTTTTCATGTGTAGTTCTTTGTGATGTGTACCTTGTGCATCATTGCAACAACCCCATGAGTCCAGATAGACATGGCTATGTCTATCTGTCTATGTCTGTCTATCAGGGAGTAAATCTGTTAAAATGGAGTGCTTCAGCTGTAAACTAGAAGGCCAATAGTTGGAAGAGAAAAATAATCCTGATTACATTGAATGCCTATAGAATCAGGTACCATCATATCACTGGGGAAATATCATCTGGAGGAAAGGATTAGTGCTATGAGCAGTGAAAAGGCCTTAGCTCTGGCATCTTTACCAGAATGTACCAATCTCAGACTGGGGAGTTTGTCACCATTGCAATTCTTATTTAATGTTACCTAGCTTGTTCTCTTCATTCTTTCAAGAAGTTTCATCTTTTTTTCCGTTTGATTTTTTTTTGGTCTGCATTTTTTTCTTGGACTTTGATTTTTTTTCACAGCTCAGCAATTGACAATTTGCTTCCCTTCCCATCTTTTCTTTGTCTGTTTTATTTAGATTGTACACATACAGGTATGGTCTGTCTATAATTTTTTTCTTTACCCAGTAGATTTTAGATGCTTTAGGAATAATAATATATTTATTTATTTGTATTTATTTATTAGACTTCTATCCCGCCCTTCCACATGGGCTCAGGGCGGCTAACAAGAGGCAAATAGGAAACTCTGTCTCAGTAGTATATTGTCCTTTATTTGTACTTTATGTGAATGCTTTGTTGAAGACAGCAGGGGAGGAGGGCGAAACACTGAGAAATCTCAGGCATCGTTTTGTGATCCCGGTCTGTCTTAAGAACATAAGAGCATAAGAGACGCCAATGTTGGATCAGGCCAAAGGCCCATCCAGTCCAACACTCTGTATCACACAGTGGCCAGAAATACCAGGTGCCATCAGGAGGTCCACCAGTGGGGCCAGGACATTAGAAGCCCTCCCACTGTTGCCCCCCCCCCAAGCACCAAGATGACAGAGCATCACTTGCCCCAGAGCCCCTATCTATATCTTGTGGCCCCAGGACCAGAAGTAGAAAAACCAGGGTTGTACTTCCCTCTTCTCCTGCTGCTCGTCACTTGTGGGCATTGATTGAGTGAAGATGCCTTCTCTAACCCGTCCAACTTAACAATGTCTGCCTGTGCGCTTATTCTGTGTTCTGCCCTGTAATGTAATTAAGCTAGAAAAAAATTCTGTCCCTTTCCTCGCAGAGACATCTTGCAATAAGCATATGCAGCAGTAATTGGCATTGGTCATGTTAATCGCTCCATTTCTTGTCTGTCTTATAGAAGAGTGGGTTCGGCCCATCATGAAGAGAGACAAACAGGTTCTTCTGCACTGGGGCTACTACCCTGACAGGTGAGTGTAACCTAGTGACAATGGCTTGGATCTGCTGGAGGATTTCTGCAGACTGGAAAGAGGGGTGTTGCTTATTTCTCCCCTTCTGTTGCAGACCTCTTGACTCCCCCTCATAGTGTTTGTGGGGGTCCCATGCCCCCCCCCCAGGAGCATCAAGTGTGGGCACTTTGGGCTGTAGCAGGTGGGGAAGGCAAGACAGTTGTGCTCTGCTGATGGAAATAACTTCTGTCAGGAGAAGTTTTTGGGTGAATCCAGGTCTTTTTCTGCCGTTCATATTTCTTTCAATGTAGGTTAGATCCCAGTTCATGAAACTGGGAGAAAGTTCTTTTGTATGCATGCATTTATTTGGATTTTGTAGTCCCGCTTTAAAATTTATGGTATAACTTTCTCTCAGCTACACCTTGTAGACTCATAAAATCCCAGTTCACGAAACTGGGAGAAAGTTCTCTTGTATGCATTTATTTGGATTTTGTAGTCCCTCTTTAAAATTTATGGTATAGCTTTCTCTCAGCTACACCTTGTAGACTCAAGGCAAATTGTTATACTTCAGATCTAATTGAGTCTTGCTCTGATGGGGTGTATATGGCAGCTTGCAGCTGCCTTGCTCCATTCCATACCCATTTCTTGAGATGGTTTAGAGTGTGTGGATGAAGTGGGGAATTGGCTTTTGAACCACTGCCTGCTTTCCTGCCCAGCTATGACACTTGGATCGCAGCAAGTGAAATTGAAGCCCCTGTGGAGGATGCCCCAACAGCTGAGAAGCCCCGAAAGGTAAGCTCTTTTGATCTTTGAATCTTTGTTATTGTTTGACTGTAAACAAAGCTTGGGATTGGATAACTGTGTGATATTTGAAAGGGTTTTGTGAAGCTCCTAAATAAAAAGGCTGTGGGCCTAACTATATTTTACTGTGTTTGTGTGTTTGCCTTGAGTCCTGTTGATCAAATGTGCCTTGGCGGTTCTATATTAAATAGAATTCCCAGGTACTTGAGGGCTGAATTTGGATGAAGCCTGCAGCATACAGGAATAGGAGAGACACACACACCCACTTGCCATTTTCTGAACCTGAGATCTAATTGGGAGCTGCTGTTCACCCATTAGTACACATGCCTGGAAATTCAGTTTCGGTGTGAAAGTCCCAGCACATGTCTGTTTGACAGGACCCAGTGCAGACTGGTAGACAGTGGGTTTTTCCACACAGGGTTTCCCCCCAAGTGGAACACAGCACTGCCCCACTTTTTTGAGGAGCTTCCATACGCTTTCCAAGCACAACTCATGGGGCTTCCAGGACTTTTCCTTTTAAGCTGCAACAAAGAAAAACCACCTTTGTTTCAACTGAAAGGGGAAATGCCACAGCAGCTGCAGGCAGAGCTCTGCCTGTAACCAGTCTGTAGAGGGGGTGAAGCTTAGCTTTGCCAAGCTCCAGCATTTTGCCCCTTTTAGCCCTTTAGCAGGGTTTGTAAAGTTTTATTTTTTTATAATTAACAATGTTATTAAATTTAATCTTGCAAACAATTTCCAATACAAATAATATGTAATTTTACAATTTAACATATGAACATATAACAGAAACAGTATAACAACATAACTCAAAAACGTACAGCTAGTAGAATGCAAAGTCTTTGTATTTCTTAGGCAACTTGAAAGTTCGGGGTCGACGAGCAGTAATGTATTCAAAAAACACAAACCATTTTTCCATAAAGTTATTAGCCATTTTAGGGTTATCATTGGCAATCAATTGCATTGAAATTTTATCTGAAACAATCAGGTCCCATACCTTCGTTCTCCATTGTACCAATGTAGGAATCTTCATGAGTTCCCAATTAAGCGTAATTAAGTTTTTAGCTGCCATTAAGAGACTAGAAACCACTTCTTCCATTTGTTTTGTTAAGTGCAGGTCAGGCCAAAAATGTAACACTAAAGAAGCGGGTGTATTTGGGATTTCATAATTAGTTATTAACTTTATCTCTTGCCTCTGTGAGCCGCCCTGAGCCCACTGGGGAGGGCGGGGTATAAGTATGAAAATAAATAAATAAATAAATAAATAGTATTTTGTTCCAAAAAGCTACAATCCGAGGACAGGCCCACCAGCAATGCACCAGTGTTCCCTTTTCCCCACACCCTTTCCAACATAGAGGCGTTGATTTAAATTTACACTTACAAAGCCGGTCAGGGGTGAGGTACCATCGGGCATACAATTTGTAGTGTTGTAATTTCAAATTAAAGGATTTACAGATAAACATGCTGCTAGACCAAATTTCTACCCATTGAGAATCTGTATATGTTATAGCACAATCTCTTTGCCAACGATCTTGTATCGCTGTTGAACTCTTCCACTTTAGCAGGGTTTTTTGAGATGCAGCTGTGAGGCACGACTTGAGGAGCTCAGTGATGACACTCTCTTTTCTCCTGACACCCAGGTTCATGCCAAGTGGATCCTTGACACAGATACCTTCAACGAGTGGATGAATGAAGAAGACTATGAGGTAAACGATGAGAAGAATCCCGTCTCCCGTAGGAAGAAAATCTCTGCAAAGACTCTCACAGATGAGGTATGCTACTTTTAGGGGACCTGTATATCCTCCTTTAAAAAAGGAAAGGAGTAGAGCTGTATTAGAATTAAGAAGTTCATTAGGCAGTAGTCCCACTTCTGAGATGTGATTGGAGTCTGAGGCTGGGTTGTACTCACTGGAGCTAGTGAGAAAAGCAGCAACAGCCAGGTAACCATTCCCTCCCTTGTTCCTGGATTAAGACCTTACTGAGACCTCCTCCCTGAACTCTTTTTGAAGATTTTGTAATCACTCTTTGTGGTTAGTTCTGTATCTGTATTATTGTAAGCTGCTCTAGAAGACAATTTTTGATTGAAATGTGGTGGTAGCAAATAATAACTAATGTCTGGTTGCTGGGCCTCTTTGAAAAAATGGCAGGCTAGGAGAACTACTTATTTTCTTAAACCAGAATACTTGGGGTAACAGATACTGCACTTTACTGTTGAAGACAATCTTGTTGTAAGTATAAAAGCCATTAGTGAATGTCGAAGATTCGGTTACCTGACATACAAGCAGTTGGAGGGGGACATGCACTGAGATCTGAAAATCTTTGATTGAAATAGACATACAGCTTGGTAAGACATGACTTTGTTCTCTGCTTCCACAACTCATTGGCAGCAGCAGATGGCTAGAGCTTCATGAGACAAGGAGGATGTCTGTCCGGGAGCCGAGGAAGGGAGGGAGGCGTGGCAGGAGTCCATTCCAGTGGCTCCAAGCAATACAACAAACAGCAAAGGAGTGGTTCGGGCAGTTGACCACTGACTTGTCCTCCTTTTGAACAGCAGTACCCTTAGTTTAGTCACAGCATTGCAAATATAGCACAGCAGGGGTGAGAACGACCATTGGACACTTACCGTGAAGGGTCCTTCTCCTCTGAGGACAGGAGGACATCTCCATGGGTTATTCTCACCGTGCCTTTAGGGAGGCAGGAAATAGTTTTTTCCGCTTCCTGTTGGCACCTTCGGAATAGCCCATCTTCAGTTCTGGGACTCCGAAAGCAGTGCCTGTAGCCTGAAATAACTGGCCTTGCCCTATAAAATATAACTTTGAACATTAACTTCAACAAATAACAATACAACTCTGTAGGATAGAAAACCCCAGAGTGAGAATAATAATAATAAGAGTCAGCACAGAAGAAGAGAAACAGAGAAAGATGACAGTGGGAGGGCTGAGATGTCCTCCTGTCCTCAGAGGAGAAGGACCCTTCATGGTAAATGTCCAATGGTCATTCTCCATCTGAGGTGGAGGATATCTCCATGGGACCTCCCCGAGCAGTGTCCCTCATTTGGGTGGGTCGTCATCTTCCTCCAATGCCACGGCGTGCTGAAGAACTCTTCTCCCGGACTCTGCATCTGCAGACGCCACTGTGTTGATCTTATAGTGCCTTGTAAAGGTAGAGATGGAGGACCACGTAGCCGCTTTACAGACTTCCTCCACCGAAGCTCTGTTAGAAAAAGCTGCATTGGTCGCTGCACTTCTCGGCGAATGTGCCGTGATGCCGCTGGGAACTTTGTGTCCCGAAGCCCGGTACGCCTCTACGATGCAGGATTTCAGCACCAAACTGATCGTAGACCTAGAGATCTTTTCTCCCTTGCGCGGAGGAGAAATGCCGATGAACATGGACTCATTCTTTCTGCAAGATTCCGTCCTTGCAGTGTAAATTTTGAGGGCTCTTTTCACATCTAAGGTATGCCAGAGATGTTCCTTAGGATGCTTGGGATAAGGACAAAATGTAGGAAACCATATTTCTTGTGATCGGTGAAATCTGGAGTCTATCTTGGGTCAGAAGGTAGAGTCCATGTGGAAGAAGACTCCTCTTGACTTTGAGGGGAACCTGCAGGTTGACAGCTCGCTTCTGCATGATGTCCAGTTGATGGGGACGAAGGAACATCTGCAATGGTCTGGCATGCATACGGCCCCATTGAATCATGTCGATGCTGGCAATCATGAGACCCAGAAGGCTGGCCAACTCCATCAAGGGTAAAGATCTGCAATGGTAGACCCGCATGGCGATGGTCTTGATCTTCTGTGCCTTGGACCTCGGTAGAAACAGGGCGGTTCGTGTGGTGTCGATCACCGCACCCAGGTGTTTGACTTGCTGACACGGAACTAGAAAGCTCTTCTCGAGATTGATTAGGAATCCGTGACTGCACAGACACTGTAGGGTCTTTTCTGTATTTTGTATGGATTCCGGCCGTGTGCTGGCCCGGACCAACAAATCGTCCGAGTACAGATGTACATGAATCCCCTGGCTCCTGAGATGACTCACAGGATTGATGATCAGTTTGGTGAACAATCTGGGTGCTGTGGACAGACCAAAGGGGAGAACTCTGTACTGGAAGTGCTGACCGTAGATGGAAAAACGGAGACCTCTTATGAGCAGAGTGGATAGGTACATGGAGGTACACCTCCGTGAGGTCTATGGATGTCAGGTACTCGTTGGGAGATAAGGAATCTGCTACCGCTCTCAAAAACGGAGATACTTCTTGTGAGCAGAGTGGATAGGTACATGGAGGTATGCCTCCATGAGATATATGGAGGTCAGGAACTCGTTGGGAGATAAGGAGTCTGCTACCGCTCTCAGAGTTTCCATGCGGAAATGGCGCAGATGAATGAATCTGTTTAAGAACTTGAGATCCAGAATCGCTCT